GGGAGGGAGGGAGAGAGAGAGAGAGAGAGAGAGAGAGAGCGCCTGCCCCACAGTGCTACTACTAGTAAGTGATGACACTGATCTTTCAGCAACGGCTTTGCAGTAGTGAGCTTCAGTTTCTCTTACCTTTTGCAACGGATGGCTGCAGACAAAAGGGAAGCCCACACATCCTTCACACTCTGCAGCTGCTGCTGAAGAGCGGGGATGCCTTCCGGAGCCGTGCTCTGCAGGACGGATTCCCCTCTCGTCACGATCATTTTCATCTGGATCTCCTTTTCCTGTTTCACCGATAATAGAGACTGTAAAAGCAAACATGGAAGTCATTTGTTATTGGCATCTTTAACATTTCTGGCCTTAAATATTTCAGAGATAGAGATTAAACATGGTGGTGGAGTAAGTGGATGCTCCACAGACACGCTCCCAGGACCAAACTAGAATTACAACTAAAATATATAAAAAAAATCCTGAATAATCAACCGAAGACTCGCTGGAGAGAATCCTGATAACCAAGGATGGAAAGTGGAGACCACATAGAGATTGGTAGGAAGCACAGAGGTGGGAAAGGGCTGGACGGGCTCCCACAGACAGCAGCTGAAGTTCCGGAGAGATATCTCAGCTGTGGGGGGTTGCCACTGAGAACTCTGGGGTCTAATCCCTAAGCTTGGCCCCCTAGTATAGAGCACCAGAACTGAGAAAAATGACCACTAAACATCTGGCTGTGAAAAGCAGCATGGTTGCTGTCTGTCAGGGAAAGATGGCTGGGAATGCAGGCACCCTCTTAAGGGGGCCAATGCACAAAATTCCGTGTGCAGCCATTCACCTTGTGCCCCAGCAGAGGGAGGACAGAGTGGACTGGAGCTGTGTGAGCAGAAGGCAGAGTTGGGGGCTCTGGGGTTAGAGCTCAGAAGGCAGACACCCTGGTTTCCTGTACTGAGTCATTCCCATATGCTGCTGAGGTCATCTTTCTCACACAGACATTTGCTATCCAGGCAGTTTTGCCTGGGGGGAAGACAGTTGACCTTGCCCCACAGTCCTGGAGGTTAACTGTTATTCTCATTCTTTTAAGAGATGTCTGCTATCACCACTCTTATTCAACATAGTACTGGAAGTCCTAGCCACAGCAATCAGACAAGAAGAAGAAATAAAAGATGTCCAAATTGGAAAGAAGAAGTAAAAGTCTTATTATTCTCACATGACATGATATTGTACACAGAAAACCTTAAAGACTCCACCAAAAAAAACTACTAGATTTAATAAATGAATTTGGCAATGTAGCAGGATACAAAATAAACACCCCAAAATCAGTGGCTTTTTTGTACACCAATAATGAATTCTCAGTAAGAAAACTAAACAAACAATCCCATTTACCATTGCAACAACAACAAAAAATTAGGATACTTTGGAATAAACTTAACCAAGGAGGTAAAAGATTTGTACTCCGAAAACTATAGGATGTTGAAAAAAGAGATAGAGAAAGATATAAACAAGTGGAAGAATATACTGTATTTATGAATTGGTAGAATTAACATCATTAAAATATCCATACTACCCAAAGCAATCTACAGATTCAATGCAATCTATATTAAAATACCAATAGCATATTTAACAGATCTATAACAAATACACCCAAAATTTATATGGAACTAAAAAAGATTCTGAATAGCTACAGCAATCTTGAGAAAGAAGAACAAAGTTGGAGTAATCACAATACCAGATATCAAGTTATACTACAAAGCCACTGTTATCAAAACAGCCTGGTACTGGCATAAGAACAGGCATATAGATCAATGGAACAGAACAGAGACCCCAGAAATCGACCCAAGCCATTACACTCAATTAATATTTGACAAAGGAGGCAAGAGTATGCAATGGAGTCATGACAGGCTCTTCAATAAATGGTTTTGGGAAATTGGACAGATACATGCAAAAAATTGAACTAGACTACCTACTTATACCATACCCAAGAATAAACTCAAAATGGATAAGAGACTTAAATGTAAATCGTGAAACCATAAAGTTCCTAAAAGAAACCGTAGGCAGCAAAATCTGAGATATCTCTCATAGCAATATGTTTACAGACACATCTCCTAGGGCAAAGGAAACTAAGGAGAAAATAAACAAATGGGACTACATCAAAATAAAAAGCTTCTGCACAGCAAAAGAAACCATCAACAAAACGAAAAGGGAGCCCACTGTATGGGAGAACATATTTGGCAATGATACATCTGATAAAGCGTTAATATTCAAAATATATAAGGAACTCATACAACTTAACAAAAGGAAGACAAACAATACAATTAAAAAATGGGCAAAGGACCTTAATAGACACTTATCCAAAGTGGACATACAGGTGGCCAAAAGACATATGAAAAAATGTTCAAAGTCACTGTCATAAGAGAGATGCAAATTAAAACAACAATGAGGTATCACCTCACACCTGTTAGAATGACTGCCATCAACAAATCAACAAATGACAAGTGCTGGCGAGGATGTGGAGCAAAGGGAATCCTAGTACACTGCTGATGGGAATGCAGATTCCATAACAGCCATTATGGAAAACAGTATGGAGTTTTCTCAAAAAATTAAATATGGAACTGCCATTTGACCTAGTGATCCCACTTCTAGGAATATATCCTAAGAAACCTGAAGCACCAGTCAGAAAGAATGTATGCACCCGTATGTTCATAGCAGCACAATTTATAATAGCTAAGATCTGGAAATAGCCCAAGTGCCCATCAGTAGATGAGTGGATAAAAAAGCTGTGGTACATTTATACCATGGAATACTATGCAGCAGTAAAAAAGAGGCAGCAGTAAAAAAGAAGGATCTCTTACTCTTTGAGACAGCATGGAGGGATCTGGAGAGTATCATGCTAAGTGAAATAAGTCAGTCAGAGAAAGACAAGTATCACATGATCTCACTCATATGTGAAAACTAAGTAACAAAAGTAACTGATGAGCAGAGTGGCTCCAGAGACACGGAAGCATGGAATAGAGTGTGGAATCTCAGAGGGAAGGAGGGGGAGGGTGTGTGAGTGGTAGGTAATCAACCAAAGACCTTATATGCATGTATGCATAACCCATGGACACAGACAATAGGGTGGTGAAAAGGCCTGGGGCAGGGGCGAGCTGGAGGGGTCAATAGGGGGAAAAGGGAACATATGTAATATTTTCAATAATAAAGATTTTATATATATTTAGAGCTCCTGAATATTGTAGAATGATGTGCAATTGTGTTGAGCCTTGGACCTCTCAGGCTGATCAGGTGAAGGATGTGAGAGTCACCTGCTGGTGAGTGGCAATAAGTAATCATCTGTCACCTGCTGGTCTCCAGGGGGCCTTGACTTTGCAGCTCTTAACTCTTCTCTGAATATCCCTTCTTTCCACCAACATTTTATTTTACTGGTTTTTGCTAAGGGAACAATAGACTACAGAGGAATTCATGAATTCTCAAAAGCAACAGGATGGAGAACTTTATAAATGTGAAGGCCTCTAGCCCAACAAAGAAAGAACTGTAACTAATTTATTTCTTTATCTTTTGTTAATCCTTACCCTAGGATATTTTTCCATTGGTCTCTAGAGAGAGTGGGAGGGAGGAGGAGAGACAGAGACATTGGTGTGAAAGAGACATATCGATTGGTTGCCTCTGTATGTGCCCCAACTGGGACCAGGGATTGAGCCTGCAACCGAGGTTCATGCCCTTGGCTAGAATCAAACCCTCAACCCTTCAGTCCACGGGCCGATGCTCTATCCAACTGAGCCAAACTGGCCAGGGCTATAATTTATTCTATATATTATCAATTTACGTATTTCAAGTTCTTCAAAGGCGGCCATCTTTTTATTTAACAAGGAAGTTTGAATCAAAGTTACAAAACTGGTGTTATCACCTAAAAGGCAAGCTTCTTCTCTCTCCCTAATCTGGACATGCCAGCCTCTGCAGTCAGCCTCAGCCGCTCATTGCCATCATGAAGGGACTGCTGGCTCTTTCCACTCACCATGCTGTTTGTTTACTCTGGCTTTTGCTCATGTGGCACCATTCTCAACTACCAGTTTACGTTCCCGACTTCTTGAGAAACCTGCTCTGGCTCTCATGCCCATCCCTCCTGCCTGGTTCCACTCCGCGCCTATAACCATAACCCTCTCTGCTGTTACTGCTCTCTGTGCGTCAGCCACAGTGAAAGCCTTGAGGACAAAGATGATACTTTATCCAGTTTTGAATCCTTGGTATTAAGACAGAGTTACAGTCTCCCAGAAGGCACCCAGTATATGAAGGAGAGAAGAATGAATAAAGAATCAGTTTTTTCCATAAATGGAAGATAGAACTAATAAGTTGGGATGGGAGAGTTGACTAAATGATGTAGGCAGGCAAGTAAATTGAACAAGATGAAAAATGTCCTGCCCTATAAAATGGTTCATTGAAATATTTTCTCAGAATAGATGTGTCCGTGATGTGATTTGAAACTAGCCTCTTAACCGACTATCGAGCAAATAGCCACATGTGGGTTATTTTATTTTGTGAAGCATTTATGTGTGAACCTGTTCCTAATGATTCAGGAAGGCTGAGGCTAGCCCGCCCTATGTGAAAAGAGCTTTCTGAGAGGTCCTGTGGCGGGAGTGCGACACAGCAACACCAGGCAGATGGAGACTTAAGACATTTTGAGGTCCTGGCTGGATGGCTCAGTTCGTTGGAACATCATCCCATACACCAAACAGTTGTGGGTTTGATTCTTGGTCAGGGCACATACCTAGGTTGTGGTTTCAATCCCCGGTTTCGGGAGGCAACTGATTGATATTTCTCTCTCACATTGATGCTTCTCTCTCTCTCTCTAAAAATCAATAGCACATACCTACGGGGGAGGATAAAAAAATAAATTTTGAGAAAAACAAATCCTGTCCATTAGAGACATTCTCTAAAGATGCGTACCTCCAGCTTGAGCATCCTGCTGTCCAGCACGCTCTTGTCGGAGGTGGGGTGGCAGTAAGACTCCAGCATGTGAACCACGTCTGTCATCCAGTCTTGCAGCTCTTTCACGCCGAGGGAGAACTGACTGTGTTCTGCAACAATTCTATCCAGTCTCGACACTTTCTCCTGGAAACGACAGACATGGGTTTCCTACTGTCCGTTCCACAGAGACCTCAGAGCCTGAAGCTACTCAAACTGGCAAGCTAACCATTTTGTTCAAATAACTAGAATCGGCCATCGGCTCATACGTTGCACAGATATGATGCCAATCTGCATTAATCTGAGAGATGTGTGAACTCTTTCTAGTAAAAATGTGAGAATCATTGGGTCAAAAGCAGAGAAATTACAATTTACTGTCCCTAAACTTAGTTGCTATTCTTCTTGATGACAATTGTGATTTTTTTTCAAACAGAATCAGTACAATTTCTTCCTATTGCCTCATCTGGGAGACCAATCAAAGTGGTTTCTAGCTTTCACATAATCACATTTGGCTCCACTGATACCACATGACCTACATTGTTAGCAAGAGTTCTAAAAAAATAATTATCTGAGATTTAAATTTCAAAAGTTGGGGACATAAATATGATTTTGTTCATTAATTACAAGTCATATCCAACACAGTGACGTTTATGAATATAAACTTCAGCTTTTACCTCATTCAGACATCTATTGATATTTGGTATCTAAATAAATACAAAGGAACAGAAAGATGTCCTTAATGAATTCTAACTTTAGATGTGTGCCAGATTTTCTAAAGACAAAAGGAGTAACTTATTCATAGGAAAAGCATTTGTGTAAACATAGTCTATTTACTCCAAGTCTATATTAGTGTGACTGTGTCAATGATGTTTTATTGAGGATCTAAATTAGCAGACCAGAAGTGAGTCCACATTAAAATGGGGGAAGCCAAATTAAAGAAAAGACTAACTTACAGCAGGATCCCTACATTCTAAGACCTGAAATGCAAAAGACAAATACAGGGAACAAATGTCACAAAGCACACAAAGCTTTGAGTAGGCTTGCGCCACCAAGTTCAAGACTGGCCTGCGTCATGCCAGCTGGACGCTCTAAACAAGATCATACTGGGGCCCCATTTATGCCTTTCTAGGCTGTTAGAAAAGAAATTTAATCAGTTAAACAAATCAATGCCCGTTTTGAGCTCTGCCCTGTTGATCGCATTGAAAATCTCAATCAACACATCCTTGAGTACGATGTAATGAATATAAAAAATTTAGACAAACTTAAAGAAAGGATCCCCAACTCATTTTATTTAGTCTACAAAAATTTAAACTGCTTTGAGTTCTTGTTTTTCTAAAGTAATTTGATCCGAGTTTCCTTAGGCCCCAAACTGAATGTTGCCTCATGTGTATGCACTGGGTTTTTCAAAAAAGCTCCAGCGAACGTGCCAAGTCAGTAGAAAGGGAATACGCTGTGCGCTATGGAGACCGGGAAGTCTCTCCACTTCCTGGACCCTCCCTGCTCTGTTTGGACAACCACATTGAGATGAATCAGCACAAGTAATAGACTCGGACTGCAAGGCTGGGAGTAGACTCACATGCCTTACTCCTGACCTGGGCTTGCACCCTGCCCGCCCCCCTCGAGATTCCAGATGGGTGGCCTGTCCCACACTCACACACGGCACATGGCGGGCATTACCTTTGTCACATTGCTTAGCGCTAGATACTGAGCAGACAGCTGCGACACTCTGTGCATAAAGCTCTTGCTGGCAGCTTGACCTTCCCACAGCTGCTGCGCTTTCTCTTTTAGCCTGTGGAGCTGAGGCGCGTAGCAGTTTATTTCCTCAAGGACAGACTGAAAAGCACAAGCAAGTTACTAGTAAGAGGCTGGGGGACAGCACATCGCTGACGGAGGGAGCTCTGGCCCCCAGAGCATGGACATCAACACACACTGGAGAGCAATAGGGGTGCCCTGGAGGCGTGACTGTTTCCGGGCTGGACACAGCATAGGCTGCAAGACACAAACAGATCCACCTCCAGGGACAGCTGGGCAACACATTATCTGTCAGAAACAGGGAAAGGGGACGTGCGATCTCAGACAGCGCCATGGAGTTCCAGGGGCTCACGGGCACCTGGACACAGGGATGCGCACAGGACAGGGAGGATGCGCACAGGACGGGCATGGAGACCTGGCCGAAGGGCCCAGGGTTGTCACCTGGAGCTTCTGCTGCTCCCTCCTCTTGGCCGGCAGGTCGTACAGGCGGTTGCTGCTTTCGTGCACCATCTTCTCGGTTTTACTCAGCCAGTCCTGCACGGGCTCAGCGCTGACTTCGAAGTCCTTCATTTGGATCTTTAGATTCTACAGGTTTCAGATGAGATTAGGCACATGATAAACTAAGCATCTGGTCTTTATTGCTTTGCTTCATAGCAAGCAAAGTCTTTCAGTTGGCATTCAATCTGGCCCTAATGTTCCCATCCCCTTCTTTCCCTGTTACCAATATCTGGAACATTCTATCCTTCACCTTGGCACTTATATACTTTTATAAAAACATATTTTCTTGATTTCAGAGAGGAAGGGAGAAGGAGAGAGAGAGAGAGACATCAATGATGAGAGAGAAGTATTGATCGGCTGCCTCCTGCATGCTCCCCACTGGGGATCGAGCCCGAAACACAGACATGTGCCCCCATTGGGAATCGAAAAGTGACCTCCTGGTTCATAGGTCGATGCTCAACTATTGAGCAATACCGGCCAGGACACCTGTATAATTTTTGAATATCCTTTAAGAGCTTTTTATGGACCTACTTTTTTTAAAAAAATGAACTTTTCCCTAATTATTCAGACCTGGTGAGGACTCAAGATCAATTTGCTTAGTATACAAAAATCTCACTATTTGGCCCTAATCTGCATCACCAGTCTTATCTTTGGTGCTTTTCCCCTAAAACCCCATGCGGATGGAACCTCTCAAAGTCCCCTTCATAGGTGGCACTCATCACTCCCTGGACCCATACATTCAAGTCCTTCTACCTGAAGTGCACATCTGCCTTGCCAAATTCAAAGAATGTTTAGCCTTCAAGGTTCAGTTAAGATTTCACCTCTCTGGAAACTTCCTCAACTTCTCCAAATAGAGTTAATTGCATCTTCTTAAGTGACTATCATATGCTGAGCATGCCTGTATTATATTGCAATCATCTCTTCATGTACTGTTCCCTTCTCTAGAAAGTGAGTTCTTTGAGAAGAGGGGAAAAAAAAAACCCCTTTTGTATTCCTAACATAGGGTCTGGAACATAATAGGCAATATTATGAGTTTTACTAATAGGAAGAAAGAAGGAAGGAAGAAGGAAGGGAGGAAGGGAGGGAGGGAGGGAGGAAGGAAGGGAGGAAAAAAGGAAGGAAGGAAGGAAAGAAGGAAGGAAGGAAACATGGAAGGAAGGAAGACAGGCTATTCCTGACCTATCCATCAACTGGGCATCTCTTGAAGTAGATAATCTCACTGTCAATGGCAGATGTACTACCCTCAACAGCAACAGAGCTCAGACCACACTGCATTAACAATCCCTGCAGAGTTGAGAGTAAATTTCTAGGCACTGCACAATGATTATCATTCCCTATTAAATGGAGGATGTCTGCCATGAAAGACTAGCCACCTTTTGCCAGGAAGTGTTGTTTAAAAAAGAAAAAAAATACTCTCCATGTCTAAATTTTCTTCTAAGAGGAGAGTTGGTACATAAAACAGACTGCTTCATAAAAAAGAAATTGCATTGTGTTAGTAATTATGTTATGATTATAATAAATTCTATTTATATTGTATCTAGATAAAATGAAATTGTATGAACATTGTTGCTTTGCATAGTTAATTCCTAAAATCTACTATGTACTTGATACTTGCATTAGTTATAATATGCCTTCTCATCTATAGCATTTGGTAGCCTTACAGAGATATTTCTGTTCATTCTCCTAGAACAACTCCCCAAATTAAGGGATTTCAAATGAAAGATTAAGTGATATGTTTAAAATTAAAACTGGTTGTTCCTACAGTCTAGGTTAATAACCCCTACTATGCAAGAAGCTACTTAATTCCTCAGTGCAGGTCATACAGGCGGTTGCTGCTTTCGTGCACCATCTTCTCGGTTTTACTCAGCCAGTCCTGCACGGGCTCGGCGCTGACTTCGAAGTCCTTCATTTGGATCTTTAGATTCTACCAGGTTTCAGATGAGATTAGGCACATGATAAACCAAGCATCTGGTCTTTATCGCTTTGCTTCATTGCAAGCAAAGTCTTTCAGTTGGCATTCAATCTGGCCCTAATGTTCCCATCCCCTTCTTTCCCTGTTACCAATATCTGGAACATTCTATCCTTCTCCTTGGCACTTATATACTTTTATAAAATCATATTTTTCTTGATTTCAGAGAGGAAGGGAGAAGGAGAGAGAGATAGAGACATCAATGATGAGAGAGAAGTATTGATCGGCTGCCTCCTGCATGCTCCCCACTGGGGATCGAGCCCGAAACACAGACATGTGCCCCCATTGGGAATCGAAAAGTGACCTCCTGGTTCATAGGTCGATGCTCAACTATTGAGCAATAATGGCCAGGACACCTGTATAATTTTTGAATATCCTTTAAGAGCTTTTTATGGACCTACTTTTTTTAAAAAAATGAACTTTTCCCTAATTATTCAGACCTGGTCAGGACTCAAGATCAATTTGCTTAGTATACAAAAATCTCACTATTTGGCCCTAATCTGCATCACCAGTCTTATCTTTGTTGCTTTTTCCCTAAAACCCCATGTGGATGGAACTTCTCGAAGTCCCATTCATAGGTGGCACTCATCACTCCCCGGACCCATATATTCAAGTCCTTCTACCTGAAGTGCACACCTGCCTTGCAAAATTCAAAGAATGTTTAGCCTTCAAGGTTAAGATTTCACCTCTCTGGAAACTTCCTCAACTTCTCCAAATAGAGTTAATTGCATCTTCTTAAGTGACTATCATATGCTGAGCATGCCTGCATTATATTGCAATCATCTCTTCATGTACTGTTCCCTTCTCTAGAAAGTGAGTTCTTTGAGAAGAGGGGAAAAAAAAAAACCCTTTTGTATTCCTAACATAGGGTCTGGAACATAATAGGCAATATTATGAGTTTTACTAATAGGAAGAAAGAAGGAAGGAAGAAGGAAGGGAGGAAGGGAGGGAGGGAGGGAGGAAGGAAGGGAGGAAAAAAGGAAGGAAGGAAGGAAAGAAGGAAGGAAGGAAACATGGAAGGAAGGAAGACAGGCTATTCCTGACCTATCCATCAACTGGGCATCTCTTGAAGTAGATAATCTCACTGTCAATGGCAGATGTACTTCCCTCAACAGCAACAGAGCTCAGACCACACTGCATTAACAATCCCTGCAGAGTTGAGAGTAAATTTCTAGGCACTGCACAATGATTATCATTCCCTATTAAATGGAGGATGTCTGCCATGAAAGACTAGCCACCTTTTGCCAGGAAGTGTTGTTTAAAAAAGAAAAAAAATACTCTCCATGTCTAAATTTTCTTCTAAGAGGAGAGTTGGTACATAAAACAGACTGCTTCATAAAAAAGAAATTGCATTGTGTTAGTAATTATGTTATGATTATAATAAATTCTATTTATATTGTATCTAGATAAAATGAAATTGTATGAACATTGTTGCTTTGCATAGTTAATTCCTAAAATCTACTATGTACTTGATACTTGCATTAGTTATAATATGCCTTCTCATCTATAGCATTTGGTAGCCTTACAGAGATATTTCTGTTCATTCTCCTAGAACAACTCCCCAAATTAAGGGATTTCAAATGAAAGATTAAGTGATATGTTTAAAATTAAAACTGGTTGTTCCTACAGTCTAGGTTAATAACCCCTACTATGCAAGAAGCTACTTAATTCCTCAGTGAGGCTCACACTTTTAGCATTGGGCTGTTTCTAAGTGTTATCTAGTCATTCATTTATGTTCAGTGAGAGATGAGCAAAATCATTGACAAGGGTACTTGGATATGTTGAGAGTGTGGTTTAACTAACACCATCATTACCAACAAACAACACAGAACGTGTCCAAGTAGTTGGTTATATTATACCTCTAGGATAGATTCCTTTTGGTGAAGATTTGAATGAAAATTTTTCCAATCCTCTTTTGCATTTGCAATTTTCGCCTGGATACCGTTAGCTTTCTCTTTGGTCAGCAGAGAACTCAAAAGTTCCCCTTTAGATAGCATCACATTTAGCTTGTGCTGTCCATTCTCACTTTCTGATGAAAACTCCTATGAAGAAAAATGTAAGAGTAGACATAATAAAATGCTCTCTGCTTTAAAAAACATTGATTTTCTATTTCTTTCTCAATAAAATCACAGAGAAGGAATAAACAATTTTTATTGTATATATATTAAGTGACTGACTCTTTCACCATATCTGAACATTGGGAATAATCTTTTGTACCTGATGTGTTTACTGTGAAAATTAAATTAAAAAATCGGCTTAGAGTGCTCAGGCACAATGCTTGTCACATAGAAAGAGCTTTTATTATTTCCTAAATCCCTATTAATATATATAAAATAGCATGCATTTATATAAATGGACTAATTTCTCTTCTTGCACACAATCATTTTAAGCAGGGATTTATTTGAAATTTGAGTTTCTTAAGCAAAATTTTAATATGCTTCTAAAACAGTCAAGAGACACATTTTTAATTCCCTTAAGTTTCATTATTAGAATTAATAACATTCTTACCTGTATTTTCTGAAGACTTGTTTGAACTTCACTAATATTTTGAGGTATATCAAAACATTTGGCGGTAGTGATTTTCGCATTAACCAACCACTGCTGGAAATCCTTGAAGGCTCTTCGAAATCTTTGCTGCAAAATCTGTTCTTTATTCTGACAGCCCTTGGATGCTTGCAGACAAAGACTAAAACATGATTGGAAGCATTTAATAGGAGGGAAAAATGATAAAGGAGATTAATGTTTGACAGAATAAATTTTTGGAGTATGCGCTCATGTCATTTAGTAACGGATTTAATGATTAATTTATATTAATGTTGAAATCAGACCTTACATACATAAACTTTTAGCTTCTTATTTGTATTAAAACATTTTAAATACCAATAAGGTTCATGCTCACCAATTATATTCTTTAATCAAGGCAGAAACTTTTCCACTGTATGGACTCAGGTCTTTGGAAAATCGACAAAGTTCATTCAGCTGAGACTTGAGATCCTCTGTCTTAGGCTCTGCTTTTTGTAGAGCATCCAGTATCTCCTATTAGAAATAACAAGACAGAGGGGTAAGCATTTAAATTAGGTAATTTCCACATCTTCATACTGTAAATGCGTAAATCACACTATAAATTATTAGCGAGGGAAGAAGCAACATATAGATTCAGTAAAGAAATGAGGCCTAGTTTCAGGATCCCCCATGGCAAGTAACATCACGTGGCTGGTTGTGTGTCCTTTTCTCGCCATAGGTAGGCATTCTGGGATGAAATGCTGCCAAGAAGTCAAATGATCAAGTGATCAAAGAATAACATAAAGTGGGATGGAAAAAGACAAGCGAACCAGTCTAAATTGCTTAAAAACAATCTGACTAGATGTCAGCGGATATTCATATTGTTTAAAATGTAAAAAGAAATCCTTTCAAAGCAAAGCAACACTTATTTTGGTACTTGTGCACAACAGTTAATGTTGTCTAACACATAACATTAACTTTCACATTAAGAAATTCTCATAGTCCACAGGTCTGATTTAAGTAGCAATTGAATCATTTCATAGTTTCATTCATTATAATCATCAAATATTTACTAAATGTCTGCCGTGTGCCGATCATTTTGCAGAATTCTGGGACCCCCAACATGACCAAAGGTATGATTCTTGTACCGCATTTGAAGAGCTCACAATCGAACGGGTGGGAGAGGCACGTGAAGAATGACAGTTCTGTGACTGTCTCTTCCAAAATAAAGTCTTGGGACTTGACAAGCACACTTCTGAAATCAAGGCCATGGTCCATGGCTACACAGGGGATTGTCACACCGAGCAAATGACATCCTGAGTGTCAAATACACAAATTCTGGCACCTTGATAAGTGCCTTATAAGTAAAATTAGCAGGTAAATGACTCCCAAATATTTAAATAGGAGTGTGTGGATAATGGTATCACCAAGGTGAATAATAATAACAAAGATGAGGGACACGAAGATGAGTAACTGCTCAGAGAGCTGTTGATGTTACTATTTTTATTCCCAGAGATTTTTATCGTGAGATGGCCTAGAATTGTAGAAAACCACACCTCTCAACACGCCAGGTGTGTGTTGCACTCCTCATCCTATAAATGGAACCTCTGTCTTCCAACTGATCTAAATCAGAAAACTGAGCATCACCATGGCCTTGCCTGGCTCCCTCTTCACTCCACCCAACAGCTAAAGAGGGCTGGTCTGTTCCATGTCTTAGAGAGAGAGCTCTTTTCATCAGCTACCTTTGCATCCTGACTCTCACAGCCCCCATTCACATCTTTGTCATTTCTTTCTAGAATGACACAGTATCCCCTTAATTTGAATTCTGTTCTCTAGTTTTCTCTCCTGTGCTTTCTCGTTCCTCAGTGATTTTGTACAATGGTGCCATTTCTCCACCTCATCTATCTGGTCCATTTGTAACCAGACCTTAAGACTCCGCTCAAATAACTCTTCCCCTAAGGATTCTCTGTCTTCCTTCCCACCTCCCAGGGGCTCTCACTGAGGACACAGCACCTCTTGACACTCATCACTAGCGAGTATTTCTAATGGGTTTGAACTTGTTGGCCTTTCCACCTGGACTGTGGCTCTGAGAGGAGGGATGGTGTTCTCTTTGCTTTAAACTTCTTTATTTAGCTTAGTGTCGGGCTAGAGCAGTGATGGCAAACCTTTTGAGCTCGGCATGTCAGCATTTTGAAAAACCCTAACTTAACTCTGGTGTCGTGTCACATATAGAAATTTTTTGATATTTGCAACCATAGTAAAACAAAGACTTATATTTTTGATGTTTATTTTATATATTTAAATGCCATTTAACAAAGAAAAATCAACCAAAAAAATGAGTTCGCATGTCACCTCTGACACGCGTGTCATAGGTTCGCCATCACTGGGCTAGAGGCATCTAAAATATTCTTATTTGCAAAATTCATAAGTAATACTTAGAAACTTTCTCTCTGAAAATCCAAATGCTAAACTAGTAACTACTATTTTACATCATATTGAATCTTTTATTTAAGAAAGAGCATTATAAGAACCAAAGAAACTGACGATGCACCAAAGAGGTAAGTAACAAACCCAGAGATATTGTGAGTCACTTGCACGTTAGGTGTTGTCAAAAGTGAAAAGCTTCGACCAAAAATTTACACTAAAATTTTTTCTGTAATGTGATCATACATTAAAGCATATTATTAGACTCTTTCATTATATAAATATCAGGTTATACACCTGTGTTTCAGTTAAGTCCTGGAATGAATATTTTCTCCTTGGAGGTTAAGAAAACTCCTAAATTTCCAACACAATTAGCCCATGGATATTAAGAGATATGAGTTTTGGAACACAGTGAACAAGATTTTTGTGTGCCATGATTTTATATAGTTTATAGGTAATGATCCATTTTTATTTTTAAAAAGATTTCCTGAGTGTCACCATTTCATTGCAGAAGAGAAAGCAAAGGCCTGTGACGGCTCATGATTATTATTAGGATTGCTAACAATGACAGGCCCTTCCTCACAGCAAAACAAAGCCACGTGAACCCTAGCAAATCCATTATTTTGTAAAACTTTCCTAGGCTTTCATTGTAATGGGAGTATTACCTCCATTTTTTAAAAATTATTGTTCCCAGCTTTATTGAGATGTGATTGACATATAATATTGTGTGAGTTTAAGGTGTACAATGTAGGGATTTAATACATTTATATATAATAAAATGATAACCACCACAACATTAGCTAACACCTTTATCCCATCACATAATTATACTTTCCTTTTTTATTATCGCCATTTTTAGATAAAATGACATTATTAGAATAAGAGAAAATCTGAGTATTTAGAGGTAATGTAGTATTGTCATCAAAAGCAAGCGCCCCAGAACCAAATATAAAAACAGATCAAAGCTCAGACTGTTGTCTTTGAATTGCTGGCACCATTAAAAACCTATATTTACTTTTGCATTACCTTTTCACAGGCCTCACCTATTATTTTTACTAGTAGAATCAATATAAAGAAATAATGATAGCTCAGAATAGTCATATAATTTAAATACCATCAAATCTTTCTTTTTTTAAATTTCACTTATATTAATGGTAGGGAAAAGAAGGGAAACAGAACGAAAACATCCTAACAGATGTTTTTATATCAGAGTCAATAGTACTGACCACATGCAATAATCACCAAGGTCCTTGTCCCTGTTTTACAGAACTGCTTTCTACACTTTATTCTGTGCTTAACCCTAAAGGACACGAAGGGCATCGGAACAAAATATAGTCTATAAGCATATAAGTAAAATAGCATAAAGAGATGATTAGAAAGGTTCCCTTTGCAGCACGCTATCTTTGTTTCAAATACTTGACTTAAAACAAGACAATGTTGGAAATACTACGGGAGTTCCCTACTGGCTGGAGCTATTTGGAAATGTTTATAACATAAATAGCCACAGAGAAGGTTACTTTACTAAAACTTCCTTTTAAGGACATCCGCGATTCAGAGCATTATTAAACTGCAAATATCGAAAGAAAGTCTTTCCAAGATGCCATTGAACAGTAAAGAAAGAAACGGGATCTCAAGCTTCTGCCCTTTCTTCACTACCCCCTTTATGCTTCCCTTTCTCTCATTCTGAAAGAGCTGCCATTAGTTAAAAAAAAAAAATGTCCGGAAGGCAACCCATGAGCATGACATAGGAGTTCTGTGAACCGTTAATTCCAGCACAGCTGTCAAAACTCCACACAGGAGAGCTGATCAGGGTGCAAACTATTAGTTGTGTTTTCGGGGCTTACCAAATGTGTCTTTCAAAGCTATACATTCAATCATTTAATTGTTGGAAAGAATTCACCGGCAGGAACGCAGCTATGACTCTTCGTCTATTTATGCCTCTACCCACAGGCCATTTTTTTCAGACTGAATGGCTGAATGCGATATTACAAACTCTTGCACCAGAAGAATGAAAGTAGAATGTTTCCACTAACAATAACTGTTTTCAATGGTAAATAATAACTTCTTCTCTCCTCTACCCTTATAATTAGAATAGTTTGACTTATGAGAAAAGAAAACAGATCTGATTTGCAAATTTAATTAGAAACACTTACTTCTTCCAAGTCTGAATGTTGTGTTTTTAGTTAGCAAGAAGGTTTTCAGTTGTTCTGTTTGTTTAGCGACGATGAGAACCAAACCAAATTTCTAGCATAACCACCAACAGAAAACAGGAAGCCAACTTACGCGCCCCTTCTCCCAGCTCTCCACTATCTCCTGATCTGTGTTCTTGCCTTCCAGGAGGGCTAGCTGCTGAGCCCACGTTGTGAGAAGGGTGCTGAGCTGCTCCAGGGCCCGCTCCAGTGCGGCCACTTGGCCTGAGAACGCCTGCTCCGAAAGGGCCATCTGGCTGACCAGGCTCTCCAGGCTGCCCTGCGTCTGGAGCACGCTGTCTTCCCACTGCTTCCAGTCGGCGCGCAGGGCCTGCATCTCTGCGTCCAGGAGCTCGCTCCCGCTGGCCGCTGTGTGCTGCTTCACGGCGGGAGCCAGGGACTCCACTCTGCTCAGGCGGCTGGCCCCGGTCTCTCTGGAATCCATCAGCTCCTGTAATGGAATATCACCATGGTAACCGAGGAGGCCGAGTCCCAGCAGGCTTCCAAATATGTACAGAGGGGCACCCTGTCCTGCTGGGGAGTTTTAGCCAGTGTGCCACAGGGAGCCAGAGTGCAGCCGCCCGCCCACCCCCTCGCTATCACAGCAGAGAATTCCCATCCTGAGCACCAGGGCTTCTGGCAAAAGAAGCTGTGGAATCCGAAACGGCCTGAAACAGACGAAACAGGGACCCTGAAGTCAGGCATTGTTTGAATGTGTGACACTGCGTTGGCCCACAGTGCACTGCTCCTATAAATAAGCAAATCCATATTTCCTCCCACACCAGCGGTGTTCAACCTTTTGCATCTCATGGCACACAAAAACTAATTACTAACATGCGGCGGCACACCAAAAAATATATTAATTTTTTTGCCAATCTGACAAGAAAATAGATACAATTTTGAATCATTCCCACTGCATGGCTATTGTGTTGGCTATTGTCACTTTTCATTATTTGACAACCTAAGGGAAAAGAGGTCAGTGCCCCGGACTACATAGTCAGGTGTTGCCTGTTTTAAAATTCTTGCAGCACACAGGTTAAAATCACTTCCTAAGCTGACAGATAAGTGAACAAGGATTGAAGCAGGACTGTGCTCTGCTCAGGGTCTCTACCCCATTTTCACCTTCTTTCACAAGGCGGAAGCTTACAAATGGATGGATGGATGAGTGAATTAAAACATTACTGAGAAATGTGCCAAGGAAGTATTTTAAAGGATCACACAGATAATAGAAACTTAAAAAAGTGCCTTTACGTAATTATCACATTTAAAAGGTTCTATACGATTTATAAAAGATAAGCCTTTCGAAGTAAATCTTCAAAATATAGTTATTACTGCTATCATCATTTATTGCATTTATGATTTTTATGTTCTGATCTCTATACATTAGAACAAAATTTGAGTGCAGAATCTCAGAGGGAAGGTGGGGGAGGCTGGGAGGGTGGGAAGTGATCAACCAAAGACCTTGAATGCATATATGGACACAGACAATAGGGTGCTGAAGGCCTGGGGCTGGGAGCAGGGGTGAGGGTGAGGGGAGACAGGGGTGGGCTGGAGGGGACCAATGGGGGAAGAAGGGGGACATATGTAATTCTTTCAACAATAAAGAATTATTAAAAACACAAACAAACAAAAAGGAACACAATTTGAGTCCTAAACTCCTGACCACAGTTACACTATTGGTTCCTCATCTAAAACTTAACCATTCAGGATTTCATCATTGCTTAATTTTTAGATTAAAATCTACTGTTTTCCACAGGGGGCAAATCATTGCCATGTATTATACAAGCCACTAGAAAGAACCAAAATACACGGAGATCTCTACTTCTCTGAGTGGTGTGAAATTTTTTGCTTTAAGTTGTCCTTATAGGTGATAATTTTAATATCCTTTAAAGTACCGTCTTTCATTATACTGTTGTACTGTTGGCTGGGAAAGCAGAACAAAACATCTAGAATGACATTTCCAAGTTATTATTAAACTTTTCACTAAGTTATTATATAAACTTTTCTTCTACTGTGCTGGGAAATAATATCCGATTCTGTCGGCTCCAAGCTGGCGCATACTGGGATGTCTCATACCACAGCAAGCAGCACATTTGCATGCAGGAGCATACTATACACGGACAACGTTTCATTTTGTTCAAAGTGTAAAGTGTCTTGAATTCCTTTCCCCCCTCTTGTTTATGTTTAGAATTCCTGAGGTGCAAGGTCATATACACCAACCACCAGAAAACAGGAAGGAAACATTTTAATGAACACAATCTAATCTATAGGATCTTTATCACAGGCATGTCAGACTCCAGCACCAATGAGAGAGAGAAGTTATGGTATCTGTCCACGTTCTGACCTTAATTTTAGACAACTTTTTCTGGGTGGCGGACGAGTCTCCGGACGGGTCCGACCAGCGGTGAAGCTCCTCCTTGGCCGAGTGGAGCCAGTCTGTGAACTCCTGCACGGCGTCCACATACAGGAGGTGGTCCTTCACCATCTCCTCCGCGCTCCGCATTTTCTCCTAGGAAACAAGCAGAGGCGACTCAGCGGCCCTCACGGCAGAGGATATGAAATCAGACAAGACAACAGTCTGATATTGGTCTCTTAATCATCAAGGAAGATGTTGTTCTTATTCTTTTTAAATCCTCATCTGAGGATAATTTTCCATTGATTTTTAGAGAGAATAGAAGGGATGGGGGGGGGGGAGAGATTGAGAGAGAGAGAGGCCAATGTGAGAGAGACACATCTATTGGTTGCCTCCCCCACGGGGCCAGAGATTGAGCCTGCAACCAAGGTATGTGCCCTTGACTGGGAATCAAACCAGTGATCTTTTGGTGCTCTAACCACTGAGAAAAACCGTCCAGGGCTTCATTCTTATTCTTGAATTTTCTCTGTGTTTAATATCTTAAAATGAAAATATCAAATCTCAACTAGACTAAAAGACTTTGAGGATAAAACCAATTTTTCTATAATTTTACTTATGTCTAGCTTTGCATAAAAATCTATGCTTAATGAATGTTGACTAACATCCCTCACTAATCATCCACTTAATAATAATTATTATAATAACTCTTCTTATTATTAAAGAAATGACTTGTGTTGGCTTTTTGTAAAGAACTTTTAAACACTGATATTTGAAGCTCAACAATTTTGCAAAAAAAAAAAGGAAAGAAAAAGAAAACGGGTTGACTAACATTCTAAGTGGAGAAAAATCATAAAATTGAGAATAAAAAATAAGGCCAAGATTGCAGAAAGGAAAAATGCATGGACATCCATAGGTGAGAAATTATCTTCATATAATATTGTACAAATAGTTTTTAGAGCAGCAAATTCCCCAATAATGTAACCCATAAGCTATTCTTTACCTGACCCTGAAGTTTTTCCTTCAATATAAAGCACTAACCTTGGCAACGGTCATTATATCATTAAACTGTGTTTTCAGCTCCTCTTGAGCCGTCTCCATGAAAGACGCATCCTCAGTCTTCTGGTAGAGCTCCCTGGACCTGGCAGTGAGGCGGTGCAGGGCTGCGGCGTGATCCTCGCCCTCCGAGACGATGCACTGGAAGTGGTCCAGAAGGCAAAACTTCTCTTTCAGACCTGGCTGCGGTTTCAAGGGATGTTCCACTTTTTGGTCTACGGATTCCATCCACTGCTCCAACTGGTGTTTCCACTCCAGGTAGTCATTCCATTGGCTAATCACAGCCTCTAAAGTGCTGGGATTAATGTTATTAGAAAAATAAGTTATCTTGACAGCTCTACTGGAAACCAACTAGGAAGGCATGGCATCCAGGTAAGCCAAGCATGTCAAACTCAAAGGCTAACACAGGCCAAATAAATGAGGCATGTGGCCCACGGGCTGTGAGTTTGACATGCTTGATGCAAGCTGTCTTGCTGAACGCCACTATACGTGGTGAGGGCGCTGCATCTAAGGGCAGGAAGAAACACTGCTTTTCTGACCCGCCGCACAGTTTCTTCAAACCAAAGTGAATCCATGTCAAAATGTAAGTAAGATGCTGTACTCATATATGCATCTGGAGACTTGTCTTCCAAATGCTAATTGTCTTAATAAATAGGCAAATTTATGAATTGTGTTGTTAAATATCAGCACTGGGGCATCAATTCAATTTTATTTTTATTTTATAGATTTCAAAGAGGAAGGGAGAAGGAGAGAGAGATAGAAACATCAATGATGAGAGAGAATCATTGATTGGCTGCCTCCTGCATGCCCCCTACTGGGGATTGAACCCACAACCTGGGCATGTGCCCCAACCAGTAGCTGAACCATGAACTCCTGGTTCATAGGTCAATGCTCAACCACTGAGCCACGCTGACTGAGCAAATTTTATTTAATATATATCTTGGACTCAGTTTATTTCATTAAAACCATATGGCAATTATTTATTGATTGGAATTTAAAATTTAGGGTAATCTTTCTGGTTAAATAATATCATTAGATTGATTTTCACATACGGATATAGATGCACAATGTTTAGTGTTGAATGGATGAAGGAATGAAGGCTAAATACATCTACACTAATAAAAGAGAAACATGGTAATTGGCGTACGAGCTACCCTTCCCATTGGCTAATCAGCATATCCTTATGCAAATTAACTGTCAGCCAAGATGGCGGCCGGCAGCCAGGCAGCTGGAAGCGAACATGAGGTTTGCTTGCTGCAGTGACTGCGGACTCCAACCCCCGCCTGACTTGACGGCCTCTGAGCTACAACTCTAAGAAACTATGTACTATGTTGCAAATGTAGTAGCTAAACAAAACCCCAGAAATCAGCTTTCAGCCAGCCGGGATCTCAGAGCTAGAGTTATACATTGTTTCGATTATAGCAGCGGAAGCCTCAGAGCTAGAGCCAGAGCTAAAGCTGGCCCAGAATAAAAAAAAGAAAACAAGGAGCGGTTGGGAGCTTCAGTCAATTGCCAGCCTGAAAGCAGCCCTCAGCCCCTCACCCAGACTGGCCAGGCACCCCAGTGGGGACCCCCACCCTGATCCAGGACACCCTTCAGGGCAAACCAGCCGGCCCCCAGGCCTCTATCCTATATAGTAAAAGGGTAATATGCCTCCCAGCACTGGGATCAGCGGAGCCGCGAGGCCTCCTGGCACTGGATCAGCGTGACAGGGGGCAGCGCCCAAACCCCCTGATCGCCCTGCAGCTCTGTGTGTGACAGGGGGCGGGGCCACAACCTCCCTATCCGCCCTGCTCTGTTCGTGACAGGGGAAGGCACCCCAACCCCCTGATCAGCCCTGCTCTGTGCCTGATAGGGCGGAGCTCCCCAACCCCCTGATCACCCTGCGGCTCTGTGTGTGACAGGGGGCAGGGCCACAACCTCCCTATCCGCCCTGCTCTGTTCGTGACAGGGGAAGGCACCCCAACCCCCTGATCAGCCCTGCTCTGTGCCTGATAGGGGGGAGCTCCCCAATCCCCTGATTGCCCTGCGGCTCTGTGTGTGACACGGGGCGGGGCCACAACCTCCCTATATGCCCTGCTCTGTTCGTGACAGGGGAAGGCACCCCAACCCCCTGATCTGCCCTGCTCTGTGCCTGATAGGGGGGAGCTCCCCAATCCCCTGATTGCCCTGCGGCTCTGTGTGTGACACGGGGCGGGGCCACAACCTCCCTATATGCCCTGCTCTGTTCGTGACAGGGGAAGGCACCCCAACCCCCTGATCTGCCCTGCTCTGTGCCTGGGACCCCCCCCCTTCCCCCCCGAGTGCACAAATTTTTTTGCACCGGGCCTCTAGTTTATTATATAAGAAATGTAATCACAAATGTAATAGTCAACCAAATAGCTCTTCAGATAGTCAAGTAAAAGGCTCTCCAGGCTGGCATCCTGAATTTTAAAGTATTCAGCTCTAAAACTATTCTAAACTCATCTTCAGTGACCTCTCCCAATCTCCCTTGCATAAAATCCTATAATCCTGGAGTCATATCTATAGGAAATGTACTTGCAGCATTTGCTTAAACTGTTTCTTTCTTTTTAAAAAATGTTTTTATTGATTTGAGAGAGAGGAAGGGAAGGGAGAGAGAGGAGAAACATTTATGTGAAAGAGAAACATGGATTGGCTGCCTCCTGCGCACCTCCTACTGGGGATTGAGCCTGCAACCTGGTCATGTGACCTGACTGGGAATAGAACCAGTGACCTTTCGGTGCATGGGATGACGCCCAACCAACTAAGCCACACCAACCAGGGCTCAGATTGTTTATTTTTCATCAGTAGGAACCTCATCATACATGCCAGCATTCTTATCCTTTCCAACTGTTTCCAAATCAATCTCACCTCCCCAGAAGCCACCCAGGGCCCTGCCTTCTTCTACAGTCTCACAACATCTTAGCAACACTACATGAGTCAGAGTTTTCTGGAATGTACCCTACCCTGGCCTCATAGCACTTAGAGGGTAAAAAGTACTTTGTTTTGTTTTATTCTGTCATTTGAACATTGCTATTGCTCAATATGTAGTTGTCAAATTTAATTTCTTGCTAAAAGCAAAGAATCAAAGATTTGAATCTACTTTTTGTATTTAACATTTTATTCTAACATCTGAAAAATATTCACCCATATTCCTGTTCACTTTTACAAAGCTAGCTTATTGGCAAGCATTGGGAAGTTTGATCTACTATATAAAAAATAGAATCATGGGATCTGAAGTTTTTTTCTTTACTGACCAGTTTGAGCTATTACTAAGATTCAAAATTCTGCAGACTTTGGGAGTTACTACAAATGTTCCATATTAAAGAAAAAAACCAAACTAAAACAAAAACACAACCTCTCACATTTTAATTGAAACCATGGTCCACTTTTACATTGCACGGGGTGATGGCAAATATTTTTATTTTGTTTTATGAATTTTAATCTTTTACTTGTCTATTTATTTTGATCATAGTGAACACACACTTCTTTGGTGATCTAATAGTATATATCATTGTCAGAATATGGCTCCTGGAATGTATTTTAATATAATTCTGACTGACAATCATTTGTCCAACAAGCCAGCCAGATTACTTGTGGGTACTTTGAGGGAAGGAGGAAGGTGAAAATCTTCCACTCATAAATACAACAGCAACAACATCGCCTATTGTAACGACCAGCATCTTCTCTATTTTCTCAGCAGCCCCTGGGCAGTGCTACTCAACAGAGCTCCGCAGGCATCCTGGGCAGAAGGGCTGACTGTTGCTTGTGTGAGAATGTCCCACGCATTGGAGGGCACCAGCTCTCCTGGGCTCAGTCACTAAATGCCAGGGATGCTCCATCCCTGTGATAATCAAACACCCTCCCCCCATAGTTCCACAACCCCAACGGGGGTGATATTACTTGGGGTTGAGAAAAAGATTTATACTTAAGCTCCACAGTTGCCCATGACTTAATTTCCCTTATGTTTCTTTAAAAAGTGAAAATATATTAAATTTATTCAAGACCACATATCATTGCTTTGATGAATTAAAAGGATCTATTTTACTGAGTTCAAGTTGTGTGCCAAATTCCATTGACATATTATGGGAGATGTAAATATTACACACACACACACACACACACACACACACACACACACACACAGCAAGCAAACAAAACCAGTCTTTGCCATTAGAGAAAATACAGTTTAGGCGAAGACAGGCAAGCATACAACTAGCTAAGATCACATGCGTGGTCACTCTACTGCAGGAGGCGTGGCACCGCTCCCTCATTTCACTAAGCCACGGGGCTTTGTTAGGCGATTAAGCACTTGCACTGGACTCTGTACCTCTGAGCGTGGACGGAGGAGCTCATGACGTTGGCCCACACGTCTGTAAGGGTCTGTAGCTGGGTCTGGATCACCTTCTGACCTTCTTTGTTGCTACTTCTCAAGGCCTGTTCCCCTTTGCCAATGGCCATATTCAGCTTGACTTCCCCTTCCCCTTTCATCAGGAGGATGTCCTAGTAAGAAGAGGGAATGCAGGTCAGCAGAAATAGTAAGGGCTTCTGATAGTTTTAAAAACAATCGTTTCCCTGAGAAGCAAGGTAGGGACTACCTTACTCACCTTAAAAAGAAAAGGGGACATAGGTAATGCTTTCAACAACAAAGACTTAAAAACAGAGAAAAGAAAAGGCAATGAACAAAATAAACTGATGAACAAAACAGGACCAGGGGCATGGATACCTGGAACAGACTGACAGATCTCAGAGGGGAAGGGGAAGGGGGTGGGGGGGACTAGAAGCGATTAATTAAAAAACATGTATTCTTATATGCATAACCCATGGACACAGACAATGATGTGGTGAAGGCGGGGGTAGGGGTGGATGGAAGGGAGCAAAAGAGGGGAAAATGGGGGACATCTGTAATAGTGTTAACAATAAATAAAAAATGAAAACAAAAACAACAACAATGTCTGGACTCTACCGCAATATAAAACTTTAATTAAATATTAGCAACCCGAGAATCTGGGAGTAAAGATTAACTCCAGTTTAAATTCTTGGAAAACTTTGGACTACTTGCCTAAGCATTGTAACTTTACTGGGAAACTTAGTTTCAGAGTAAAAAGCAATTATTTTGAAAATGAAAACACGCTTGTTAAAAGCCTAACAGTCCCCTACCTTCAAAGCCTGACTAATGCCTGTCTTTCAAGGTCACCTTCACTGGCTGCAGGCTGGGTGGTGGTCTCCTTTGCACTTTCCCCACCCCAGCTGCCTTCAATCACGGCCCCACATACATGTTGCACGGCCTGTAACATTTGCAGTTGGTCCCTGCCACTGACTTGAACTCCTGCAGGACTCATTTTTATCTTCACATGCCCAGCAACTTGCATAGTGCTTGGAGTAAACGAGGTATTTATTTCATAATGTTTGCTGAATATTTACTAAACAAAATTAAAATATATATATATTTTAGAGCTATTAAAACAAACATATTCCTTTCCTTTACAAAGAGGGAAAACCATCCCCTCCGAGTCCTTTTTGCCCAATTTCCCCATTTCGCTCACCTAACCCTCATTTAGAGAGAGGCTCACAGCGTGATTGGGACCCGACTCAACCATTTGTGAGTCTAATCGCATCAGCCCTGGGGCACAGGGGTGTACCTGTATCTGTAACAGCCGTTTTTCCAGGGTGTCCTTGCTTCCCACGGTGCTGTCTGCGCAGGCCAGCTTGTCCTGCACGCCCTTCACCCAGGCCCACATGCTCTGCAGGGCCTCCTCCAGGGCCTCGTGCTCCTGCAGGGCCGCCTGGCAGCGGCGCAGCTTCTCCTTGGTCATCCTGACCAGGCCCTGGTAGCTGGTGAGCAGCTGGGAGCACAGGCGCCCTTCCTTCCCGGCGCCGTGGCCTTCCTCGCTGAGCAGCTGCCCGCGCTGCGAGAGCTTGTCCAGGGACTCTCTGAAGACAACAGAAAACAACATCAGCTAGACTCTCCCAGCGCCGGGGAGTCACAGAGGATTGTTGATGTTGGAGCGCTCAACAGGCAAGAGCTCACAGCTGACACGCCTTTAAACGAAGAGCCTTGCCAGGCTGACCTATGAGGATGGGGAATGTGGTTGAGCATCAACCAATGAACCAGGAGGTCACGGTTTGATTCCCCGTCAGTGCACAGGCCCGGGTTGTGGGCTTGATCCCCAGTAGGGGGTGTGTAGGAGGCAGCCGATCAATGATTCTCTCTCTTCATTGATGTTTCTCTCTCTCCCTTTCTCTTCCTCTCTGAAATCAATAAAAATATATTTAAAAAAATAAAGTAAAATGAAGAGTCTGGAGACTGCCCTGGCCACCTGCTTCTCCTATGGTTTCTCCAAAGGTAGTTAATACACATCCGGGGACCTGACTGAACCCATGCAGTACCTAGATCCAAGCCCAGTGTATGCCAAGGAATTCACTTCAGAAAAGGCCTGGCCTGCCCCTCCAGGCCACCCGGCATCTCTCCACTCCTACTGAATGCTCTAACCCTGAGCAGCTTGCCAAAACGCCCCCAACCCTCTGCTATACATACATGGAGGCTCCTCTGTGAGAACCCTTCTGCTCTCCTCTGCTCCCGGTCTACCTGCCCCTTTCACAGCTCAGGGCAGGCATCGCATCCCTGCGAAGCATCATGATAACTGAGGACAGGGTGGGGAGTGTGGAGAGAGTGGAGAGGGTGGGGAGTGTGGAGAGGGTGAGGAGGGTGGAGAGGGGGGAGAGGGGGGAGAGGGTGGAGAGGGTGAGGAGGGCAGGTCTCCTCCTCTGGGCACCTTCTGCAGCCTCCTACACACCCTGTGTGTCTCAATCCACAGGCTTTCCTTCTAGAAGCCAGGGCTATTACAATCATCTCATGTCCTAGCACCAGTGCAATGTTTGGCAGAGATAAAATGAAAAAAAAAAAAGAAGAACAAAAAGGCAATGATTCTTTCAAAAGGCCATTTTATGAGTGCTTAAGGGTGTCATTCTTGTATCTCAGGTGCCCTGCTCATCTCAGCTTGGAGTTATGTAAATTAGCTCCAGGGAAAGTATAACCACCTGTGGCTGGGTAGGCTTCATCCTGTTTGACAGGTTCTGAATTCAGATCAGCACTGTTCTCAGGAGATGCCTGGGAAACCAGGAGGGGGAGAGCAGTTGTCTGAACACAAACTATTGCGAGTAGTGGAAAAAGGCTACATAATGTATCTCCTATGACGCCTCTTTTATTTTACTTAGCAGCTATTATGTAAATAGCATCCTTATAGGTTTCTGTGAGATATATGTGACTTATACAATATTATATCTACTCTAAAGTACATATTTTTATTCTGGTAATCTGTTTGATCAGACAAGAAGGTAGTGTAAGCAATGATGTGAGTTAAATAATAATTCAAGAGAATAGATACCACTTGTTATTTCAAGAAGAATTGGTAAATGGATGATAAAAATTCAATGAGTCTCAAGTTTAGGGTACTTTAAAAAAATGGAGAGCATCCCTCCAAAATGTGTGTACTAGAAATATTATGATTAAAAACAACCACAACAGAGGAACAAATGACAAGCAGGTGAGAGGAGTCAGGTGACCCAGCTAAGCACCTGAGTGACCCTCACTGGGAGTGTACAGAGTAGCCAGTTAGAAGGAAACTGGGAACCAATATACTAAGGACTCTTAGCTCTGATCATGGAATATCAGATCAAGAACAATATGGAAGGAGGAGAGAAGTAGGTTATGTTATATTGTATCTAGACAAGAGTCAAGATTTTAAAGCACAAAAAGTGCACTGTAACTTGCAGAAAGTTATATATTTAGAATGATACTATTATTCTGTTAATTCGGCAATATATTCTACTAGAGGCCTGGTGCACAAATTCGTGCACCAGTGGGTCCCTTGGCCTGGCTTGTGGGATCGAGCTGAAACCAGCTCTCTGACATCCCCCGAGAAGTCCCGGATTGCAAAAGGATGCAGGCAAGGCCGAGGGACCCCACCTATGGCTGATTGTGGCAGGGGAGGGACATGGGAGGTTGGCCAGCCAGGGTGGGACTGTGGGAAGTCTCCAGGGCATATCTGGCCTCTCTCGCTCAGTCCCAACCAGCTAGACTCCAGCAGTAACCTAACCTACTGGTTGGAGCATCTGCTCCCTGGTGGTCAGTGCATATCATAGAAACTGGTCGACAGGTCGACTGTCTGTCCCCTAGTGGTCAGTGCATGTCATAATGAGCGGTTGAACAGCCCTAACATATCATTAGCATATTACGCTTTGATTGGGTGAATGGCCGACCGGACAACCAGGCACTTAGCATATTAGGCTTTTGTTATATAGGATTTGTTCATTTTTCGCACTTAACATACTAGGCTTTTATTATATAGGATTTTTCTGACATTATAGACTATGGCAATCTACAGATGATAAAGACCTGATGGTCCCTGGCCTTGAGGAACTCACTGTAGAGGACTGGAGTACACAGAGTCAACAAAGTGTTTATCCCTTGGTAAGAGCTCAGAGGTGGGGCCCGAGCATTCCAGGGAAATTTTAGAATAGTCATCAAACGAGCACACCAGCAGTAGTTGTTAGCATGGGTTCTATTGTGCACTTGTTTGCATGTTTGTTTTTCAGGACTAGGGGCACTCAGCATGTCTGACTAAAAAGAAGACTCGGTGGAAACAGGGAATGGGTCTAATCTGAATTAGGCAGTTTTCACTTAGTTGATCACTGCTGCTAATTTGTCTGATGAAGCAGGCTGGTGCTAGCCTCTATTGCTTCACAGATGATTGTATCTACTCTTTAAGAGGGTAGTTAAAGAGTTTTGGGTCAAATTGCACTACCCTTTCCAAAGGTAGAATTTCAATGAAGCAACTGAAAATGACAGGAGTGAAGCATGAATTTAGGGTGCAACATCCTGAAAGTCAGGCCAGAGAACCTGGCCTGGGAAAGGGTCCAGAATCATTTGGTCAGTTAGAAAGCAATGAAGAGGCAAATACTGTAAAGGAGAAGGGGAACCTCCAAGACAGCCAGACTTAATGACCATCCCTCTTGTTTTACAAAGAATTTTGTGAGAATGAGGTGAATTAGAAATGGGACCAGAGGCTGAAATGTATAAAGAATATATGGAAATTGGGATCTATAGCATTATTTTTTGTAAATGAATAATCTCTTTTAATCACCTTATATCCTTACAATAATCTCTGAGAAGAAAGTGTTATCATCATCATCATCATCATCACCACCACAATGATAAAGGCTAATATAAAAAAATACAGGAAATGAGTGTCCTATCCAATTTGTTGAACGAAGGGAGGTGTAACAAAGCTGTAGACCAGCCCCTTACCTCCATCCCTATGCTCTCTCCAGGGAGAAAACCCTGCACAATCATTTGTATTTTACACATTAAGGGATGAAAACAAGCACAACCACAAACCAACCAACCAACTAACCTACCAACCCCACCCAATAACCAACCAACCAGACAAACACGCAGTTCTTGGTGGGGAAAGGACCAATTCCATTTCTGCACCATACCTGGCAGCCAGGAGTTCACCCAGAAACATTTCAACCCTATGAACTTCGTTTTTCTTCTCAGGAATGTGCTGTTTACTCTCTCCTGAGTTTTCTGAGCTTAACCTCTCATTCATTTCATGGATCCATAAATTCAGTTTTCTGTGCTGGTCCTCAAAGCTAAAGAGAAGAAAAACACCATAGAGAAATTCTTAGGTTATCATTATAATAAATACATTCTAATAGCTGAGGTCACAATGTCTACAACAATCACGTTTTCATGAATTTTCAAGGAGAAGGAAACTCAACAATAAGCCCATTCAAACGATCGCTTATTTCAGTAACAAAATGGCAAATCATGAAAATTTCTCTTGCAATCCGGGCAGAAATGAATCACCCTATCAAACTGAATTGATTACCTGGTAATCATAGGTGGTAACTACCAGCAAGATTACATTCCCCTGCAACATGCACTTGACTTTTTGGGTTTTACTAGAGACCCTGAATTGGGGTCAATGGATAAGGGAGGCTGTGGAAGCCCTGTGAGAAAAAGGGGACGTCCTCTTTGTGTCTTTGTATCCTATGGGATATTGATATGGCACCAGAATGCAAGGGCTCTAAGTTTTGAAAACAGTGTAAATTCTCTGAGAAACCTGGATAAGAATCAGGCAAATTACTCCACTACCAGAAAGGCATTTTGATTATACTGACATAGTTTTCCCCCTAGTAACAAGGTTTCCCCCCCTTTCTTATTCTATATTCACCCATGTTGACCTAGCTTCCTGATTGGACTCTTGACTCACATAAATACAAGAGGTGTTTCTGCCATGACTCCAACCCAGCAGGAGTAGACTCAAGAAAAAGACTTGGATAATATAAAACCTGGATGCCAAAGCTCTAATATCTTGAGTTAGTCAAACAGACCAAAAAAAATGTATGAATTCATGTCATTCACAGATACTAGTGTGTATTATTCCTTTATTTTCTGTGTAGAAAATCAAACCACGTGATGCCATCATAGTTCGAGCAGTCAGTAATTGTCCCAGTATGAATCTGTAATTAAGGTCAAAGCTTTACATTTAAACTCACAATTTCAAAGATTTGTTTATTCTCAATGGCTTTTTTTCTCTAAGTCCCTGAAGACATTCTGTACAGGATGAAATCTACCTGCATCAAAACAACCTACCTCCCAAGTTCCAGAGCACAGTCTTGAAGAGCCTGCTTGTCTTTGAGGCATTGTCTCAGAAATGCTTGAAACTCCTCATTTGCCTTGGTAATCTGCTCCTGAATGCTACTGACCATTTGTTTAGGCAAATGTGCATACAACGTTTGTCCTTCCTGAGTCACAGCATCAAGCTTGCGCTGCCCATCACCGACCGAGTCCAAAATGGTCTGTTTCAGGAAATAAAAGTAATATAAAACATTTGCTATCGTTCAGAGACCCTGGTGCATGGGAGCACTAATTACAACTCTGAGCTGAGCTAGTAGAGCGAGAGCAGAAAAACAGGGGCCAAAGGAAGACAGCCGTTGACAAGGCTGGAGTAAGAATGATATTTGCAACTGGATATAATCGAGGCTCATCCCTGAGGACGGGCCAGCCAGGCATTGGAACCACTGAGGACCCACTGGGAACAATGCCAACCTGGGAAGGAGGATGTTCTTACCAAGGTCTTGTCCTCAGTCTCTCTCCTTTCTCACCATCCCAACCTAGTGCAGGCTCCACCTCTTCATGGTTAGTGTGATGTCTTCTAACTGGTTAGCTGCCTCTATCCCTCCTCCTTTGATCCGCCCTGCACACCACATCCTGACTTGGGTTCCCTTCTTTGCTTGGTGTGCACCACTTCTTTGGAAGACCATATGCACGGGCATTGGCTTTGGCAGAGCAAAAGAACTGCTATGCTAGTCCTGCCTCGTCCCTGAGTTCCAGACTTTTCTCTGTGGAGTTTCACTGCATCTCAGGCCTTAAAGGGGACAATTCCACATCTGCAGTCACCCTGCCTCCTGGGAAACTAGCTTCCTGTATGATGACACTCTTCCTACTCTGACAGCGAATGAGTTATCTACATAATTGTCATCACCCATTAGGCCACAAAATCCGCATGTTTCTATTAATTTTTTAAAAATTATTTTTACAATACTTAATACAATGCTTTGTTCAGATTCGCTACTTAAAAAACAAAGCCAAAACTCAGTATGAATCTAGTCTTGCATCCATTATTTTTTAACTCTGCTTCACAATGGCCTTCTCTTTCCTGAATTCATACATTTTTTCCTAGTGAGGAAAACCTATACAATCTATAATATCTATTGCTTTGATTTGAATATTTCTAAGTTCCAAATTTAGACCACAGGTTGTTAAAAAGCACACATGATGTCAGTGGTGTCTTCTTTTTAAAACTCCTCCATGATAGTAACGTGAAATAGATATCACTGTTTATGTTTTTACTGCTATAGAAATTAAAATTAGGTTTAGTTTAGAGTGAATTCCAAATAGTCAATAGGCTAAAAGAGAGGGGAAGGGGATCTAGAAATTCTACAGCTCTAACTTGATTTTTCAGCTTACTTTTCATATTGCTTATCTCCTTATCACTCAAGAAATCTAATTCTGATAAGGAAAAAGAAATGTTTGAATAAGATTAAAAGATTTGGAAAGAGAGGTGATTTAGGTCTGACCCGATCGCACTTGAGTGTAGTTTGGGGAAGAAGAAAAGGCAACACCAGTGTTCGTACCTGAAGATCGCGAAGCTTCGCCTCTAGAACTTTGCTGTCACCAGTTCTGTCTGATGATTTTTTTGCTGCTGCTTTTATTCCAGAAAACCATTCTTGGAATTCCTTCATGGACTCTTTGGGAAAGAACATGAATGAGAAATGCATCCAAAACATTGAATGAGCTACCATGAATTAATTCTGGCCTTCAGCCCATTGCATTGTGCCTTCCAAAACATTCCAGAAGGAAGATCATAATAATCTAGAATATGACATATACGACACAGCATGATCTACAGCCATGCCTGTTCACAGTAGAATCAAGAAATTGTCTCAGAGAAAAGACTGTAAAGAGATTCACTTTCCTTCAATGTCCGATTTCCCCTTATGTCTCTTTATTTTGGTAAAGAAATAATTAGTTGCCTGACTCCGGAAGAGTGCAAGTGGAGAAATACTTTAGGGGTGCTAAAGCCATTTTTGTGGCACAAAGAGAAACCTTCTCCTCTTTCCGCTAAGCTGACCTGAGCACTGTCATTATGTGTCCACGTCAGAGCACAGGCAGCCGTGTGGGAAACTGAGTCCAGCACATCCATAGGACAGGCACTTTCCTAAATTACATGCTGCTGTTTCATGCTCTCTCCTAATACCTAGGTTGACTATCACTCCCTCATAGCAGTGGCAGTAATTTCCACACACATGAGCTATATGTGGAAAATCTAGATGCAATTCCGAATCATCAAAACGGCAGACTCCTACCTCCCCGAGGAGAAAGGGAGAATGTTGCTTATGGTGAGGGCACACGCATGACACTTCCACTGCCCAAAGCTCAATGCCCAAGTGAATTTAACTTGATATTCTTCCGGAAAGTTTTGCAAACGTTTGCTGGCAGTTTCTACACAGCATTTGGTCCGAATTCCTTCTTGTAAACAGACTATTCATGCACAGGCCTGTGGGAGCTCACCATGGAAGTGTTTCTCCAGAGAATCCTGAAGGCTGGCCTGTGTCCTGGAGCACAGCTGGCTGGCAGCTTCGTGCTTCTTGGTCAGGCCCGTCATTGCCCCGCCCAGGCGCTCCAGCTCCGCCGAATGGTACTTGCGGCACAAGCTATTGAGGTTTTCTTGGGTGGAGCTGATGTTGCTTTGCTGGCTTTGAAGTTCTTTCTGCATTTCCTAGAGAATAAAAGTGTGCCATGGAGGATGGTTATCAGGTGCAAGAAAAATATGCCACCTATTCCACGATGACACTTCCTCTGGAAACGGATGCTATCAAAATCCACTCAGTAATGTATACATTTGTGTGGGATTGTTTTTTGAATATTTGTGATATCTCTGTGTTGATTCTTGGAGAATGTTGCCCAGTTCTCCTTGGGAACAACTGCAAACAGCTGTTGAGAGGCCGCTAGGATTTGAGTGAGAGTCTAGCATTTTAAGCAAATTGAATTGATCCTTGTGGATTCCAGCCATGAGCTTGGGTTTAATCAGTTGATTAGGAACTACAAATGCAATCACCCTCCTAAGTTCACATTCTTCAGTGGGCCATACGGGTCACAGGCCACAAAAAAAGGCACAAGTAGTTAATTTAAAAATATACTTCCTTAGTCTCAAGAACAGCAAAACAATAATATGCTGAAAAAGAACATATCATTTTTTGTTGAAAACTCAACTCATAAGCTTGATAGAGAGTTGATCAGAAATGTCATCTATGAAAATAAACATACTGACATAAAAGTGAGATGTTTTCGCAATTAAAAAATATATCTCTCTCTAGATAAAAGCAGTCATACTAACCAATAAAAATAATAAGCGAGGAAAAACTATTTGGCATTCAAGTCTGAAAATTCCTGGACATTCAAACACTTCTATGGATGTCACCCCCTTAATAATAATAATAATAAATAGCAGCCTGTGAGCAGGCCCTATAGCAATGCGTGCTTTCTGTTTTCAGATGACTCATTTTCCTTTCTGTTCTTTACCCATTACTTACTTTGCTGAGTCCTGTGTTAATGCGGGTGATTGAGAGCAGAGGTTAAGGCTTGAGTCTAGCCATCACAAAGCAGGAGAACTAATATTCCCACTGAAGTATAACCAGTTAATGAGAGCTGGTTACCTACCTTTACTTTCTTCAGCCCTTCACAAGTCTCAGTTTGGGCGCAGTTCACCAGGGACTCTTCTAGTTTCGCCAGCCAGGTTGTTATGTCGTTAATAAATTTCTCCACTTGTGTGCTCTGAGCCCTGAAATCTTTCAAGGTCCCTTTGGCGTCTTCGGTAATTTCTTTGGCGTGCTCCAGTTTCTGCCTTAGGTCCGCTTCTATAAACTAAACATAAAACATAAAGCAGGATTTCATCAAAATCTGTGAAAACCAGACACTCCTTTACTGGGAATTCCGTGGATGTGTAGCTTAATCATAAAAACCAAACCAAACCACATAAGGGTAACCATGGATGTTCATCCAATTTTTCTAAGACGGAAAATCAGTGTGCACACGCTGCCAAACATTTTAAGTGATGAAGTGATCGGCAAATGGAAAGAGTAAGGCGTACAGTTAACATGAGACGCGGAAGTGGCAGTTTGGCTGAGGTTCCAGGGGATACACACAATCACATCTCAAAAACAGCCAGACTCACGCCGGGTTACCAAGCAGGTGACCGAAAACCTGCTCCTCATTCTCCCTGGGAAGCACTCACACATTTTGTCCTGATGTGACCACTACTTTGGACAAGCGCCCCCACCCCCCACCCCCATCATAGGATTTCATCCTAAAGCACTTTCCTTTCTGTCTCCCACTCTAAGTATTCGGGGAGGCTGGTTCTCTGCTCCTAGGTGGTTTATTTCAGGAGGGCCTTGATTTCTCTGGACCACAGATAAAAAAGGGACTTAAGATAAACCGCAAACAGTTTCAATTCTACAACAAAAACAATCAGGACCATTTAATAATCAAGACTTTGAACTCAAATCAAACTTAAAGTTAAGGGCTTTTTCTTGCCCCTGCTCAGATCTGCCGCAAACAGGAAGCCCACAGTGGAGAAAGGGGCCTGGTGCCGCTTTTTGTCTCTTTTCACTTTATTTCTATTCCCCACCTCACAGGCCTGGGCAAGCAGGAGGTGAGGAGGGAACTGGCATCTACGCTTTCTAAGCCTGGTGACATTCCCATTCTCTCCTCTCACAGGCCTTGATCTGTGGGTTTTTCTGAGACTCCCCTCACTTCTGTGACCGCCCGGTGAAGGGCCCTAGATGCAAGCAATGCACCTTTCTCTGGCTTTTCACTTTCTCCGTCTGCAGCCTGTGGGCATCTCATAACTTCTTGCCTCCGGGGCCTGCCATTCCCCCAGAAGGCTTTCTTCGATGACCCCAGCTGTCACACAGGAGCGCTCTCCTTTCTTTTTCTCTTATGATTCACCTCTGGGCCGGAGGTCACACTCTGCCATTCACCCCAGATGACATAGAGTTGCAGGCCACTCAAAACAATCAAAACATACGCACTTTAATGTGGGGAGCCGGCACGGCCATGGCATACTCAGCCCTAGGGCGCCTTATGTGCCATGCCAGCTCAGCCTGGTTCAGTGACCCTGAGTGGGGGGGTGAAAGGATTGAGAAAAGACAGACAAGAGAATGAAAGCTGGGTCTCGGTGGGATGCTGCTCCCTGATGAGGAGACAGCGCCAGCACCCACAAGCCGTGTCTTTATTTTATAGCAGATGCCACGAGGCAAAGCAGGGGCGTGATCACATTGTTTACAGCATTCTCATGAGCTCCAACCTCACTCAACTACATGCACCTGAACTTGAGCACAAGGCACGTGGAGCCACGTGTTCGGACCATAGGCTCAAGCTTACAACCACAGCCGTTGGCTATGATTGTGCTGGGAGGGCCCTGCTCTCCAGCTGGGACTTGCACGTGGCAATGAGAGGCCCCTGTCCTTTCATTAGTCCGAGGCTTGAACCTGGCCAAAACACTGTAGCTGCGCCCCATACTTTAATATACAAATACTTAGAGAATAGAAATACTCTTTGAGATGGAGAGTCTAGCAGGTAGCAGTTATTACAGAACTAACTGAGTGCTTACCTGAAGGTCTGATGGAGTTTCTGGATTTTTCGTTAATTCTTTTAGGTCATTCACTTTAGCATGAAGGTCTTCCAGTTTCAATGCGTTGTTTCTAACTTCAGACTGTCAAGTATAAGACAAAGGGGAAAAGCATGACTAATCCAAACATTCACATGATATATTTGGCATTTAATAATTTCAAGAGTTAACTGTCAAAATGCCCCAACATTAAGCTAGGGTAAAAAAAAAATTCTTTTTCATTTTTTGATCATTGTCATTAGTTAGGAATATGGAAAAATGTCACCATTTACTTGCACTTGGGATGTGAGGGAGTGTGCGGAACTTTCTTTCTTCCCACTCTCTTTTATTGGGGAAGAAAAATGCTCCTGGAAAAAATTAACCACTAACCAAAAGTCTTGAGTCAGTGGGGAATTTTAACAACTAACTGCCATTTATTCATTAGCATTGATATCACTGGTTACCATGGCAACATTAAACTCTTGAGGAAGCACTGCCAAGCCAGTACACATTGGAAGCGCCTAATAACAGCTGGCTATCTGTAACACACAAGAAACCTTTCAAATAAACATTTAAACGATGTGAAAACAGAAATCAGGTTAATTAGAAGATTGATGTCTAATATCGTGCCTTATTGTTTTGTTTGTTTTTTGTTGGTGTTTTTTTTGTTTTTTTTTTTTTTGCACCAAGACTAAAAGAGGAAGGAAGAAAGGATAAATAACCAAAGAATTGTTACTGAACAAATTAGACATTTATAAACATCATTAGTCATTGGGGCCCACAAAAGGATAGTTAAATATCGTGCTTTGGTGCTTTGTGGACACTAACAAACCTCCCGGTGCCTTCAATCCAGAAGGTAATTTACTTACCCAGTAAGATGTGATGAACTATCTGCCAGGCCCACTGGCCTTTTCCAGAAACCGGCTGGACAATGAAGGCATCATACCCACACGCCCAGCTCATTTCCTGCTCTGCAGCAGCATGACATTCTCAGGCACGGGGCTGAGTCCAGCTCTCTGAGTTTATGAGCTGGTGTGCCACAGTCAGCCACAGAAAAGCCATCTCTGTGAGTGACTGCACTGGACCTATGAACATAGGGTTGATGCCCGCTGGCTCCCTGAACCCCAGAGGTCAGGGGTGGGAGTAGACTGTATGTGGGTTTAACGACTGGCTCTCCCAGAGAAGGCCCTGATTTGTAGCTTCACCACCATTTAGAGTTACAACATGAGTCACGCACATGGTGCTGGAGGAGCTCCACAGCAGTGCACCATTCTGCAGTATTTCCACCAGAAAGACAGAGCGAATGTCAGCTCGAGTTCCCAGGCAGCAGTCAGAGGGGAATAATAGCCAGGAAGGTTTAACTTTTGAGTGTTCATTACCTTCATTTTAAAATAGATTTAATTTAATTGTAATTTACTTACATTGAAATTTTTAAAAATATATTTTTATTAATTTCAGAGGAAGGAAGAGGGAGGGATAGAAACATTAATGATGAGAGAGAATCATTGATCGGCTGCCTCTGCACACCCCCTACTGGGGGCCGAGCCCGCAACGAGTCATGTGCCCTGACTGGGAATGGAACTGTGACCTCCTGGTTCATAGGTTGATGCTCAACCACTGAGCCATGCTGGCCGGGCACAATTAAATTTTTAATAATGGTTGTGATTAACACGGGCTCGCAAGATTTTTGAAAATATAATAATTGACTTTTGCTAGCACGTACAAGCCCTCTTCCAGCACATGCCACATACAGTTTGAGCTGTAATGGTCATTTAACATCTAAGATAACTAAAGGGACTGTGGTGCCCTTCCCTGACTGTACTTTTAGTCTGAATACTCTCCTCTACTTCTGTTTGCCCTTAGGAATAGGAATAATCTCTCGAATGTTCTTTGGGTCAAACCCAGCTGAATAATTTAGGTAGGTAATACAGATGATTTTACTATATATTTTGTCAGACTATAGTAATTTATTCACACATCTGTCATACTCCACATCTATACCAGGCACAGTGCTGGGCACCCAAGCATACAATGGTCAACAGTCCCTCCCTCACTAAGAGTACAGTCACTTGTGTGCTTTGTGAAACCAGTTATCTCTTGTCACTCTATTTCCCTTCCCTTGCTTCAGTTTTCACCATAGCCCTATTACTGATTGTCATTGTGCATGTCATATATACTGTAATGGAAATAATGTAAATACCATGAGGGTAAAGACTTTGTATGTTTCACTATTATATTTCCAGCCTGAAAACTGCCTGACATATTTTAGGTGCTCATTAAGAATGTGATGAGTGAATGAATAAGTGAATGTGAAAAATGGGGATAAAAGGAGGTTAAAATAAATTAGTGACTCGAACTTTAGAAAGGCCACTTTCTGTGGAAGCCTGTGACACTCCCATCTCCATTTCCTTACGTTTCTGGAAAGGAAGTGGAGGAAACCAGCTCCTAGCGTAAGTGCTCAGTGTAGGGTAACTACTCAGTAAACATTTTTTAAAAAATATATTTTATTGATTTTTTACAGAGAGGAAGGGAGAGGGATAGAGAGTTTGAAACATCGATGAGAGAGAAACATCGATCAGCTGCCTCCTGCACACCCCCTCCGGGGGATGTGCCCGCAACCAAGGTACATGCCCTTGATCGGAATCAAACCTGGAACCCTTCAGTCTGCAGGCCGACGCTCTATCCACTGAGCCAAACCGGTTAGGGCCTCAGTAAACATTTAATTTGAATGGAGAAAAAATAGATACTAAATATTACTGAATGACAATCACTTTCAATTTGGTTTTTCAGTAAGAAGATGCCATATTCCCAGATGAATGGAAAAATTGTAGGTTTACTTTCAAATAAATAGCAAAAGATAGTTAAGATTGTTTATTATACTCCTGTGTGTCTCAAAGAGCGGCATGGCTCAGTGGTTGGTTGAGCATCGACCTGTGAATCAGGAGGTCACGGTTCGATTCTGGTCGGGGCAGGTGTCCGGGTTGTGGGCTCTATCCCTGGTTGGGGCGTGTGGGAGGTGGCTGATCAGTGATTCTCTCTAATCATTATTATTTCTATCTCTCTCTCCCTCTCCCTTCATCTCTGAAATCAATAAAGATATTTTTTTTAAAAAAAGAATGAACTTTTAAAAAAGGACACCAATATTTTCGTATTCTGGCCAATGATACATCACCAGCTCCCATGTGAAGGTGTAGCTCACTTACCTCAAACTCCTTCAGGAACTCCTCTGTTCTGAGGCTGTTGTTCAGGTTGCTGATGCTCTCCGCCAGCTGAGGGACAGAACTGTTCGACCAGCCTTCGATTTCATCCTTACTCGAGAGAATATCAGCCCAAAGGGACAGGCTTACCCTCAGCCGATCCATGTTTTCCTCGATTCTCTCTGACACCTGGAAGAGAAAATCAAAGTCAAATCATTAACAGTCTGAGGCTTTAAAAAATGCTCTTTGCCCCACCGAAGTACTAAAAATGTCAATCCTTCCTTAATCAGAAAATTGTAATCTGATCAGAAAGCCAAGTTTTACAAAAATTATTGTAAACTGACTAGTGCACTGAACTTAATCTATGTAAATGCTATTATATAAATTGTTTCTGTCACTGGGAGAGTTGGTTGAATTTCTAAAACATTTGACTTTTATTTGTAAATTGGAAAAGTAATCACAACAGGTCTACTGTAATATAACTCACTCTAAGGTTGAATTCTATAAGATAGGGGTCCATATAGGGCAGTATTTTTTAAAGTAATACAATAAGCCCTTTTATTTGTAATGATGATACATAAAAATGGGCATAATTAGGCTTGAACATATTTATAGAATAAGTAAATATATAGAAGATTAACCAATTTTGCATGCTTATAGTATTATTGCTTAATATTCTTCCCATAATAAGAATATCATTTTAAAAGTAGAAGACTATAAGGTCTTCTGAAGTCCCCAGATTATTTGATTACAGTATGTAAATATCGATGTCTAACTTAAGTGACTTAGCTTAAGTAAGGGAACCCACTATAGGTTTAAATTCTGAGCCTAGATATTGATAATAGAGGTCAACAGAATCACTGGATTTTTGGAGCTGGAAAACAGTGTAAAATATGCATGAATTGAGAGGTAGAGTTCCAGAAGGATCAAGTGACCTGTGCTATAGTCACTTGACAGAGCCAGTAAATGACAGAGCAGGAACTAAAACCCAAGGATATAAACTACAAGGCCAATGATTTTCAATGCTAAAGCGTCTTCTTACTTTAAATTATTATACATTTTGGTTAATAGTCTATAGGCTGTTTATACATTATTCTTTTATTTTTATTCATAATTCCAGAGTCTTGAGAAGGCAGATTATAAATTTGTTACATTTGAAGCTGTCAAGTAAAATTCTAGAAAATTTGCCAATAAGTTTTAACAAAATAAAGCAAATAGTTTTTTTTTACTATTTCTAAAATTTATGTGAACACTACTTTTCTTTAGAATATTATATTTGCATTTAGCATTAAAAGTTAAAAATGGAATTTACATCTCTCAATAATCCTTTGCCCCAAAATGAGATTCAGAAATGTGAATGTTTAAACTATTCATGGAACCCAAGGTGATGAGCTTACATCCAGCCATCTGTCCATAGTGCTCTCCATGTCTGTTTTCACCAAGATGAAATCACTACTGTGAATTTTTTTCAGCTCAGATAACAACTGTTTTCCTTTACTGGTAAAGTCATCCAATTCTTTCTGCTCTTTACATATTTCGTTCCTGGCAGTTTCATGCTGTGAACATAAATGTTTCCTTAATTAATAAAATCATCAATGCTAAGAGTTTAAAACCATTTGTCTCCCCAAAATTTAATTATTGGATGACCTGATCCAGAAACCAGGGATATTAATAAACTGTACAAATATATACTAATTTTCTTGAATTGCTAGAATCCTAGGATATCAGAACTTTTTAAAAAAGTTGAGCTTGTTAGCATGAATTATCTACATCTAACTATACTGACAAGATTTGTATAGCAAATACAGTGTGAGTAAAAAAAACACGTTTAATAAAGTGTTCTACTAAAATAAATACATTTTGAATTACTACCTTGGATAAGGCCCATTTAAGATCCTCCTCATCCTTTATAGTAGTTCTGGTTGCAATCACATTGCTGGCATGTTCTAGAACTTTAGATACAGCTGACTTCAAGTTCTGATAATCTCTCATTAAGTCAATAAGCCCACAGCATTGGCCCTGGCTGCAATGATCAAAGAAAAGACATCATTTATTGTCAGGTATCAGGAGAGGGGAGAGTTCTCTATGGTTGGACCTGATGTATACACACATATTAATAGATGAAAGAGAGAGCCCTGTCTATACCTACCGAGGTAAAAGAGTGCTGGTCGATCTTACTTAACTCTAATGTCCCAAATATCCTCATGAATGAAGAATGCACACAGCCATTCAAATAAAATCTGTGACTTCAATAATAAGCAAAGATGCAATATATGTTCTGGATAACTCAAACTTATGTAGATATATTATTATTTTTTTAATGCATATAGATACCCAATTGTTTCAGGACTATTCACTGAAAAGACTATTATTCTTTCTTCATCAAATTGCCTTTTTAAAAAATCAATTGAGCATATCTGAATATATTTAAAAGAGTGAATATTACTATATGTCAGTCATACCTCAGTTACAAACAACTATAACAAAACAGAATAAAGAGGAAATCAGGAGGTTAAGACTCTCATGGTCGCACTTAGTAACTTGACAACTGCGTTTCAGCATTGAATTTCTCATGTAATTGTTATCTCAGAGCAGCCTCCTTAGTCACGTTCTGTAGGACTAAATTCTTATCGTTACCGAAAGACACAGAATACTACAGATGGCAAAAGATATTCAATGCTTGATCACACCCATGCAAATCACCAGGCATGGCCCAATGTCACAAAATAGGGAGGAGTTAAAAAACAAAAACTGAGAAGTTTCTGACTTACTTTTCATGAATTAGCTTTTTGGTATCATCCCAGGTGACCTCTAAGCGATTTATCTCTGTATCAACTTTAGGTGCAAAGGCTACATCTTTCTGAGCAATTTGCTTAGCTTTGTCTTTCAACCAACATAACTCATGCTCATGAGAATTCAGTTCATCTTCTAACTGATTGAAGACTCTCAACCTGTGAATTAAAGTGTTGTTTTACTAAAGGTAGCAAACCAATATTTCCTCTCTGTAAAGCACACATACTGAGAACTAGAAAACTAGTAACAGAGCAAGCAAATGGATGGCTGTCAACTGATAAAGATGCTTTTACAGTTAACTTTGCATACTTTAGAGTGTACCGCAGAAAACATTTAAAGTCAGTTTCACTATTCACCTTCAAACTTCTATTAAGTTTGTATTCTCTTTCTATTATCCTTTGATGGTATAAGACTTTTAAAACTAGGGCTGACCTTGTAGGCAAAGGAGGTGAGTTCTTATTGCAAGGTATTGATATAAAATTATTTTGTGCCATGAGGTCTAATTCATGTAAAATAATATTTGAGAATCATAGTTGTTTCATAAAATAAAAATAGTTTCACAGAGCCATTCTCCCTCTCTCTCTCTCTCTCTCTCTCTCTCT